ACAATGGGATGTGAATGTTTGGGCTTAAGTTATAAGAAAAATAATGGGTTGTGGCTTATTTAAAATATTCTCTTACTAATTTTTTTTATTGGGCTACATCAAAAAATCAGATTGGGCTTCGAAAAATTATGGACGTTGTATATAAAGAAATGTTTAATTATATTTGAATTTTCTTTCTTAAAACTTTTTTTTTCAATGATTATGTTATAACTTTTACTATTGTTTATATTTTTTATTATTTTATTTTTTATCATATAGTTTTTCGTGCAAATGCACGGGTAACAACTAGTGATGTATAATTTTCGATTGTTCCACGACATAGTAAGAGTAAATTCACCTTATAGTTAAATATAATTATCCACTTATTAATCATTTTGTCATTTTGTTTTTGGTGATATTTTTGCAGCTCTTCCAACATATTTTTAATCAATTTCAAAATAGATTATTTTGTAGGTTTGAATTAATTCAAAACAAATTGATCCAACATTCTTTTTGGTCAGTCAAAGTATGAATGAATTTAATGGAGATATAAAAATAATTGTTTATTTCATTCAATTTTTTTACTAGGGCTACGGTAGTTTGTTTGAGTGGGTAACGACAATATAATCAGTTATTTGTAATGGATGAGTAATCGTTATGTAGTGGTTCCATATTTAATTAACTAATAAATTTATTTACAAGTAATTTAACTGTATATAGTTGTGGGTGAGAATTTTAATATTTTATCGCAAGTTATATAATTTTGTAAGCACATTAGTGAAATTGCAGATCCACACATAGAATTACTATAATCACGTAGTTTATGTTCTTTTTTTATATAAAAAAAATTCCGTAAAAGTTGTCAAACACCTTTAATACTACGAGGAGAAATTCAAGATATTTGTTTCATTGTTTGCTTTAATTTTCTTAAAAATGTATGACTGCATTATAAGCAGTTTCAATTTCAATATATTAATTTTTACTTGTATAAATTTTTTGTTTATTGAAATTTCAAAAGACTATAATTTTCCCAGTTGCATTAACTGGTTTAGATCTGGATAGTTGATGAAAATTAAAAAAAATAAATTTTCTGTAGTAATCATTTATCGAGGAAATTTTTTGCAAAACAAAAATTCATTAGTCGGACATATATCTTTAAGATATGATTAATATTTTTGGACAAAATATAAAGTCATCATATGTGAGGATGTATAATTTCTGATTAACTTTTTACTTAGATTCTTATTCCAAGTGAATTAAATATTGATTGACATAAATTTCATAAATTTCTTTGACGGTTTTACTATGCAAAAATAAAAATAAAAATTAAATATATTAATGTATATGATTTTTCAATAATATACGATGGTTATTTGTTATCATACAACACAACTTTTTTTTTTACTTATTATATAATTCATATAAGTATTCCGTGTAAATGCGCGGACAACAACACTAGTAATAATTAAAAAATAAGATCTAATTAATAGATAGTGTTTTTAATTTAAAAAACAATAATATGATTGAGCACGCAATTGAGAAACAAAATTGTTGTTTTAATAACTAGAACTAAAAATTCGCCCGAAGTACTCTTGCAGAGCGAAAGTTCCTTGCTTAACAGTTAAATGCCACTGACCCATCGGAAAATGGCCGGAAGAAACCATCACCCCGCCGCCGCCGCCGCCGCTACAAAATCTCGACGATCACCGCTCATTCTCTTCACTCTCTCCCTCATCTTCCTCTCCGTCCTCTTCTATATCATCACATCCGCTTCTTCCCCATCTCTCCAATTCCACGCAGCTCGAAACCCTAACGTCGATTACTCTTTCACCTCCTCACTTGAGAAATTCTTTGCCAATCACAACTCAAAATCGTCCTCCACCGCCGGGGACGACACAGTTCGAAAGAATGTTACCGAGCAGGATGTGCAGGTGTTCGACGATTTGATCTCTCAAGGAGAGGAGAAACGTATCTATGGAGACGAAGATCAGTTTCGTTCGCCGATTAGGGTGTACGTGTACGATATGCCGTCCAAATTCACGTACGATTTGCTCCGGCTGTTTCACACTACATATAAAGAGACTGCTAATCTCACATCCAATGGTAGCCCAGTTCATAGGTTAATTGAGCAGGTGAGCCCCCGTTATTCAGCTTTTTGGTGACAAATGGCTGAGCTTAATATGTGATTATCATCGAATGTTTTTGTGTGTTCCAGGTGCACGAGCTCGGTATTGTGGATCTGTATATATTTAAGCGTTTTTTTTTTTATCTGTGGTTATTCTCTGAACTCATGTGGTAAGTCTTCTTGGTTGTAGCATTCTATTGATTACTGGTTATGGGCGGATTTGATAGCTCCTGAGTCAGAGAGGTTGTTGAAGAATGTGGTCAGAGTATACAAACAGGAGGAGGCCGATTTGTTCTACATTCCATTTTTCACGACAATTAGCTTCTTCTTGTTGGAAAAGCAGCAATGCAAGGCGCTTTATAGGGTGTGAGTGCGTTCCCCATAGAATCTTACTCTCTGAAGATTATTGTGTTTCCTTGTGCATGATTACAACTTTCTACAGCGGGTTTCTAGCTACCTCATTTATTAGCAGATACACGAAGTTGAGATAAATATATTTAGTTTTAATACTTACGTTGTCTTATGTAGGAGGCCTTAAAGTGGGTTACAGACCAACCAGCTTGGAAAAGGTCTGAGGGTAGAGATCATATCTTACCAGTTCATCATCCTTGGTCATTTAAATCTGTTAGAAAGTTTATGAAGCATGCCATATGGCTGCTACCAGATATGGACTCAACAGGGAATTGGTCAGTAAATACCTAAAGTCTCAGCAGTGAACCAATAATATGGTAGTTAGCTATAGACGTGCACGTGTAATAGATTTCTTTGGTAACTCAGGTATAAGCCTGGACAAGTGTACCTCGAGAAAGACTTGATACTTCCATATGTTGCCAATGTTGATTTGTGTGATGCCAAATGTTCATTAAATTCCAAGAGAACCACTCTCCTATTTTTTCGGGGAAGGCTAAAAAGAAATGCCGTAAGATTTCTAGATTCGCGCTTGGGGATTTTTTTATTTTTTTTACTATTTTAATCTGTTTAAGTTTATTGGGTCTTCACGCCTGGTACCTCATGTATTAAAATACTCAATAAGAAGTGATTTCTTTTTGTGTTTATAGGGTGGGAAAATCCGTGCTAATCTTGTCACAGAACTTGGTGGCGCCAAGGATGTGGTCATAGAGGAGGGTTCTGCTGGAGAAGGAGGAAAAGCTGCAGCTCAGGCTGGCATGCGCAAGTAACGCTAGCTGCATAATCAGTATGGTTTGAGCATTATGGTTGACCAAACAGAATTTTCTGATCAACTTGCTTTATTCATTTTTCATCAGGTCAATCTTTTGCCTTAATCCAGCCGGGGATACTCCTTCATCTGCTAGGTTGTTTGATGCTATTGTCAGTGGGTGCATCCCTGTAATAGTCAGTGATGAACTTGAGCTTCCATTTGAAGGAATACTTGATTATCGCAAGGTACTCACAATCTTCTGGTGTTTTGGTGGTACATATATGGTACTTTTTTCAGTGTTTCAATTGCAAGAAATGATTATTATGGTGATTGATATATATTACAGTTACTTTGTACTTGAAGTTAACAAGATATGGGATTTTAGATCTTTATTTTTATGTGGCAGATAGCTGTGTTTGTGTCTTCTAGTGATGCCTTGCATCCAGGATGGCTGTTATCATATTTAAGAGGCATTTCTGCTGCACAAATTAGAGAGAAGCAACAGAATTTAGCCAAGGTCTGTGCTCCAGCACCTAATGCATTCTGTTATTTAAGCAGCATGTTACAACTCATTTGCAAAGTTAAAATACTTATGATTATATTTTGTTCCCTGTCAAAATAAAGAAATTGCTTTGACAGAAACTGATCGCTGGTGCTTTTCTTCATTTTTGTACCGTTTTATTTGGGACAACATATGATTAACTATGTCTACGTCTACTTTTTTCAGTACTCGAGGCATTTCTTGTATTCCCATCCTGCACTGCCAATGGGCCCAGAAGACTTAGTTTGGAGAATGGTTTGTTACTCCATCTTTTATTTTGCTACATATCTGTTTTGGTTAGTACATGAAAGTGAGCATGGGATGATAAAAATATTTGGATGCCATAAATTGTAAACTAGTGAGGATCTATTCTCCTCTACGGCTCTACCAATTGGTGATCCAAGTTATGATACTATCATTTTGGTCCCCATCGTATGGTTATTGAATATTCGAATAAAATTATGATTTACCGATGATATTTTACCTTTTACTGGAGTTTTGGAAAAATACAAATAACAAAAAATTAAGAAAAAGATACGCTATGTCTACTGGTTTGAGTTTTCATGCTTACAGTTGTCCTCCACAAATGCTACATGACTTGCATTAACAAAAGTGGATTTAAATGCACTTGCAAATGGAGGAATTATTTTCAGATTCTGCATATCGGACATAACAAGTTTATATCGTGTTAGAATTTTGCTTATTTCTTAGCACTGTAACAGATGGCAGGTAAGTTGGTGAACATAAAGCTCCACTTAAGAAGATCTCAGCGGGTAGTGAAAGAATCCAGAAGCATCTGTAATTGCGAATGCCACCGTCCCAATGCAACTACTATTCAAGGATCTTAGTTTCTTATTAAATTCTCAACGAATTAGAAATTTCACTTCCCTATATTCTCTTTATCCTCTCTCTTTGTCAGTCACCATTCTTTTCGCGACCTTTGTGTAATTTCACACGTGAAGTTAGACCCGCGCGGTTTGTGATCCACAGTTTTCTCCTGATTGGGCTTGTGAAAATGGTTCGGCGCGGGTTTGTGATCCACAGTTTTCTCCTGATTGGGCTTGTGAAAATGGTTCATCTATTTATTTCACGTGATTAATATTTACATTTTGTGTTATTTGCCAATAGATACCTGAAGTTCCGGACTCTTGATTTTTGCACCATCGAACGACGGTAATAAATGCACTTCTGATTATGATTATGTATTTGCTTCTGTAGGTCGTGTGGAAACAGATCTTTTATGTTAGGGTCTACTATGATTATGTACTGAGCTGAATGGAGTGTCTTTGGATTAACACACACCCATGTGTGTGTGTGTGTGTAATGATCAACAATAAATTTCATAGTCTGTGTGGAGCCGTTAGATCAACACACACGGTAAATTTCATATTGCCTGCACGGATGTCGTTGGATCGATGACACACCCACCCACATTGGTGTGTGTGTGTGTATGTGTATGTGTAATCCTTGGCCACACTGGATCTGCAATGTTTTGTGACTTGTGAATAATTCCATTATAAATCTTTTCAGGAAAAAATAAGAATAAATCATTAAAATAAATATATAATAATACAATAACTCCCTTGTAAATAATTACTTATTCTCATGATTATAGGAGTTAACGTGTTGTGTTGCGAGCATACACGGAACGTGGGCTGCATTTTCTCAAACTCAACCAAAATTCCACCGACCCATCTTTTGTCATTACCGTTGTTTAACATTTTTATTATTATTATTATTGTGATCATTTTTTTGTTCCCTTTGTTGACCATAAGATGGGAAATCATTACGCTTTGGATATAATTTATCGACAAAAAAAAAATTCATATGCATTGATTATCGGCGAAGAATGATTACTCAATTTTCATTCGATTATGTGAATGAACAATATATCATACGAAATTGAATACTATTTCAATGGTTAATTCAATATACTTTAACATCCATAGCTTTTTTTTTTTATTATTAAAAGAATATTATACTTTAAAAGATGATATCAATAAAAGTGTAACAAATACTTATTTTATTCAAATACCTTTGTTTTGGACCAGACGGGTCGGTTCAACCGGTTGGACTGCAAATCGGCCTTCATTGCTGTCCGGTTTGCTCAATTGAACCGTCTAGCATCTGAATCGGTGCAAAACCGGTGTACCGTGACCGGTGTTTATTTACCTAGCAAATTTATAAATAAAAAAATCATATTACTCCGGTTCAAACGATTTTTGACTGGTTCGGATGCTAGGCGGTTCAATTCAGCAAATCGGACCGGAATGAAGGCCGGTTCTCGATCCAATCGATTGAACCGACATGCCGGATCCGGTTTTAAGAACCATGATAAATAAACAATGGTGATACTATTGGAGAATACCATTTCGACATTTCCCATAAATTTCAAGTTTATAGATTTGTTATGTAAATAAAACACCGGTCAAATTGTCTAACAATTAACCACATCATAACGCCTACCATTTATTAGTCACCTCAGATAGAAATTTGTGAAAATTAAATTATTATAAAGATTGACTAAGCCAAATTATATATATGTCTATATTCTCATTTCTATTCTTATTACAAAAAAAAATCGAATTTACCATTTCTTCTTGCTTGTGTCATTTTCTTTTCTTTTTCTATTGCGCAATATCCGGAAGTATGAAAGAAAGAAATATTAAATTAAAAAATGTAAAAATGTAAAACCATAATTACAAAACTACCCCTTTAATCATCATCTATTAACATCTTCCAGTCTTAGTAGCAGAGAACAAAAAAAAAAA